ATTCTATGTCTAGCAGGAGTTAGGCCGAATACTCGCGGCTTACTCGAGGTTAGAGGGATACATTGTTGAAGGGTAGGAAAAGGGGAGGAGCTTGGGGGTAGGGTTTTGTTGTCTCAGAGCGATGTTGCCAGTATGAATGGTAGAGTGGTTCTAGACAGTGCTGCTTCCACTCACTTGCTATAAAAACATAGTTTTCGGAATTATGCGATCATTAGATGATATAATGATATGTTGTACTTGTAAGTATCGAGAAGAGGGTGTAAAGTATGTGTTTGACTCATAAAACCTGTCAATTTCGCTTTCAGAGCGTCACAATAAGCGATCTTATGATTCGTGAGCGTTCACTCAGAGTGAGCGCTCACGAATCGTAAAATTGCTGATTGTGGAGCACTGAAAGCAATATTGACAGATTTTGTGTGTCAAACACATACTTCACGACCTCTTCTTGTAGCTTACAAGTTCTAATTATCACTATACCATCTCATGGCTTCATAATTCTGAAAAACATTTTTTTTATTGCAAGTGAGTAGAAGTAACCCTGGTTCTAGATTCGTCGGGAGTTCGACCGGTTATGGTGACCAGTGGGTGACGATGAGACGCATCGAGACAGGGGGCAAGACAAGCAAAAACTAATAAAGAGATATAAAAGACAAACCAATTAAATTCTTATACTAGACATTTGCAGAAACACGTAAATCGACTGCATATAGCAGAGATCGCGGGTACCCAACACGTCTCTGATAGGGAGAAAGGGTTGTCTTCCTTGGGCCTCGAGAGTATTCAAAAGTCGGTGTCATTATCTGTACATTGCCAAACTGCGTGATCGATATCATCGTAACCGTTTCCACACCGACAGATGTTGCTGTGCCGACCATAAGGTCGAAGAGCATGAATTGCTAACATTTGGATTAGTCCAATAATTGTAAGGTTGGGGTGTCGGTTAGACAAACGTGTGCACGTATCGTCCTATATGGATGGCCACCCAACCCATCAATGTTAGACACCCGGGTGTCAAGCCTTGCCGTTCCCCGCTTGCTGCATCGTCGTGGGATTCGTCAGGAAGAAACACAAGAGCACACAAGAATAGGACTAGGTAGAGAAAGATAATAAAGAGGAGTAGAAAAATAAAAGCAATGGAAATTTCGTGAAAGCACGCTCTAGCTATACTAAAATCTAAGCTTACCGTTTTCCGTTGTGAAATAAATCGACAGTGAGCATGCATAAGGGCCTATACGGGATGATCGATTCTCTTCGTCGATTTTCTCTTTTGTTAATAACTCGCTAGATTTAACGTTTCTCGATGCGTTTGCTGTTGCTTTTGATAGCCAATACAACCTGTTACTACTCTGCATTGAACAAATTCTAGAAAATTGTTTCGCCTAGCTGTAGCAATGCAAAGAGAAAATCGATGAAGAGAATCGATCATCGCGTATTCGCCCTTATGAATGCTCACTGTCGAAATGTTTGATTTGATTTCGATGTAATGTTGTCCGATTAAAAATTAGAATGAGAGGAAGAAAGTGCACTCAAAAAATATTGAAATCTAAATAGTATAAAAGCTACGCTAAATCGCAACTCAAAGAATGCAAACTTAGTATAAAAATGGCATATGCGTTCCGTAGTATAAAATTGAAATATACTTACAATTCATAGATACGGTTTATTCGAGAGAATGTATTTTTCGCTTCTTTATTTTATTTATTTTAAATATTATTGTTTTCAAATCAAAATTAAAATTGTCTCAGGAAGGTTTTTTAATTATTTTATTTTTATGAATATTATTAAAAAATACATACCTTTTCGATGTTCATTAGGATGAACTCGTGCTCACGCAGTCTAGCTGCCCAGCTGATCCCATGCGCAGTATAAATCCGCCGGGACGAAGCTCTTCACCAGCACGAAGCTCCGAAGAGAATACAGATGATCTTTTTGCTATCATTTTAGTAAACACTGATCGAATTCCACTCCGTTATTCGGACTTAGTATAATTTTGACGAAAATTTTAATCGAAAATCCGAATTTTGAAAATCCATGAAATGCATAAATTTTATTCTATATGCGTTTTATAATATTTTTGACGGGTATTCACGTTGTTTCGGGTTCGTGTAATTCTGTTGTTGTCTTCCGCGTGGTCGGAGTTTGACTTTATGTTGCGTACCTCTTTTGCTGCAACTGCGCCTCTGGCGGAATTAGGTGGAACTACCGATGAGGAAAGCTTGAAGTGTAACGTCGTTTTAGGTTTTGTGTGCTCTCTTACCGTGAGCTTTGGGGGAATGTTTCGAGGTGTGAGAGATTATGCTGTTTTTGCAATAAGGGTTTCTACCCGTTCAATTTCGGTGGTAGTGAAGCTCGATCTCTTCTTTTTAGGAAGATTACTATTGGACTCGCTCTGGGGCAGTCTCATCCGGGCAAAACTCAACATGGCATGCGGTCTCCTTTACCGGAGTGGCGCTTAAGCCGCATACTTATCCGAGATCGACCAGTGATGGCTACATCTTTAAACCACGCTCTCGAAGAAACATTAGGAATAATTGAACACTACCGTCCAAGATTTCCAGTGTCCCAATCGGTTTGCCAACTCAAAAAAGGGTACTCTGATGCACTAAATGGTAAAAATCATCGTGTGAAATTTGCCTGTCATAAAATTCGCCTTCCTGCACGCCCACCTTTGCAAGAGAGTCCGCCTTCTCATTGCCTGGGATTGAGCAATGTGAGGGGATCTTTCGACCAACACATTCATCTGCTTTCCTACCTTATCTTTGAAAGGAAATAAGATGAGTGCCTACCTTGTTTAGGCTCTGAACCATTTGGTGGATTTTTTTAACTTTTGGTTAAAATTTGACAGATGGAAAGTTATCGATTAACCCTGCTATCCGAGCGTGGTTACTTCTGACAGACAAGAAGTTAAACTATGAAGTTAAGACAACTATGGCTGAGTTCTTCTTGAAAATCGGTCGATCGACAGCACAGGGATTTTCGAACATAGAGAATAACTTTCGAAATGTCACTTTTAACCACGAGTTAGTTCTCTAATCACGCCTTCCTTCGGATGGGAAGTAAAGCCGTTGGTCCCCGGTTCATGAGTTGATGGGTCGATAGGTAAGGTCCAGGTGTGGGAGCTGCCTTCCTGGCACGTCGGTAGCATTGGTGCTCAGCACGGAAAACAAGATCGACGGAAAAAACAAACCAAAGGAAAAAAAAAAAAAAAAACCACGAGTTAAATTTAACTCGGCAAATGGTTCACAGCCTTAATCGACCGAATAGCCTCAATTGAACTGAGACTATCGGAGATGATGAAGTAATGGTTTGCGGGCATGTTGGAAATCATCCCCAATGCGAAGTTGATTGCTGCCAGCTCAGCAACATAAACAGAACAAGATTCCTGAAGTTTGTGGAAGACGTGACCCGTCTATAAAATATCTTTTCACGCAATTGACGTGTTGGTACTTTTCAGTAAAGTTGATCTGGAATCCCATTAATCACTTGTTTCATGGACAGATCATATTCAATTGAGGAACTGCTAATGGTAAAGTGAGAACGGGCTGGAGTATACCTAGGAAGACACATATCCGAAGATATGTAGTAGTGAAGGTAGATTCTCATAAGTCGAGATTGTGTGTTCAGCCCAAGAATTTCTTCAAAATTTGCAACTATAAGTGTGTTCGTCACTCCGCATTCGATTATTATCCTGAGAGAAACCTTCAGAAACGGTTCTGGAGAGGTGTTACTCCTGCCAGAACCTCGAGACTCATTTCTTCCTTGATTTGTTTTCCGTCGAGATCTTGTTTTCCGTGCTGAGCTGAGCACCAATGCTACCGGACACCAGAGAGGTAGCTCCCACACCTGGACTTTACATATCGACCCATCACATCATCAACTCATGAACCGGGGAGCCAATGGCTTGGCTTTACTTCCTTTCCGAAGGAAGGCATCAGAGATGTTATGCCTCAGAACACCCCGGCGGGCGGGATTGAACCCAGGCCTTCTGGGGTGAGAGATAATAACGCTTACCACTACACCACCGGCGCGGCTGTCGAGACTCATGTTATGCGTTGAGTGCATACAGCCGAGAGCAATACGCAGACAACGATATTGAATTCATTCCAATTTTATTACGTTATATTTTCAGAGTAAGCAGAGTTGTTGTTTCGATTCTGGCAACACAATTTTTTTTTAATTATTTTAAAATAGTGTTTTTTTAAATTTATGCTACATTTGATGAAACTACACTCTGTTAATGATTGTTACATCATTTTAGCGCTCAAATGATGAAACAGTTTGTATTACCACGAGACGACGAGATCTCGATATACATACAAGAAATCAAACTGACTAGTGCCTTCTGGAGTATCATTCAGTGGTTTGTGTTCCTGTTATTTCAATATTGACAACTTTTCTCTGTATGTATGTATAATCAGCATTCAATATGACTGTGATAAGACAATCATAATCATGCTTTCGTCATTATTGATTTCCAATGACCCAATCTCAATTATCACCACATCCAATAACTGGTTGAACAGCTAACATGTTATAATAGATTATAACCTTTAACTCTTTTAACCATTCGGAACAAACGAAAAGGAGTTTATCACAGTGCATGTGAATTGATAGTGACTGACAAACATTAGTAGCTACCTTCAATCATCATCCCCCGTTTGGAGAAGGTTAAAGCTGCTGTAATATTTAAACAAAACATAGCGTTTCTACTAAACCAGGATCAGATGAAATTCTCTAATTATCAACGCTCTGCCAGACAATGTAGACATAGTTATTAGGATTTCTACAGCCAGCACCATACCATAGATTGTGGCACTTCATGGGTTTATCATTATCACAGATTCCTTGAGTATTTTTTATGACCGACAAGTCGGACGAGTGAGTGGCGTGAATGAATATAATGGTGTTTCGGAGAGGGCCCGAGCTGGCACCGCGATTAAAAGCTTCACTCGATGGCATCGTACAAGTTAGTCGTTGAGAAGGCTTCGTTTAGAAAGTGTGCTCTGTCCGCGCATTGCTGCGGTTCACTATACGCGTCTCCACTATATCGGTTGTGCGTTTTTTTTTATTTAGTATTTTTGTCTTCGGTGTTGTGTTATAGGTTTACCGTGGCGCTTTTGCCATCCAATATTAATTTTTGTTAGTTATGCAAATTTGTTTTTCATAATTGGGTGTTAGGCTTTCGTTCGATTCGTCGTTCCACGTATTCTCAAATAAGGGCTGACACGACGTGAACTTTTACCGGACTCGCGCAACTCATCTCCATTTAAATCTTGCCATTCATCAGAGTATTCGGCTATTCACAGTGCGTCAGAAGCGGGCATCCGTGATAAAAGTGAGAGTTTTTCACTCTTTGTTGTTGTATACATCAATTTGAAGCTGGCATTTTGTTCGGAAATTGCCTTGTACGAGTGAAGTATGATTTTTCAAATTTAGACAGGCGTTTATTGGTATTATACGATATATAAATTACGCGGAAGCTCAGTACAATAGAGTGAATATTGCTTGCCGTCATGTTCGTCAAGCGAAGGAAAGTGGCTAATTCTAACAACAACGTTATTTTGAGTAACGTCAACTACGAGAACAACGGTAATGGGCAGGTGGTTAAATCACGCTGCGGCAAGCACAAAGATTGTAATGGTGGCACAAGTGAGGTAATTATAATGATTTTTTTCAGCGTATAGCGAGTGGTATACAAGTCAGCTGCATAATATTTTTGCAGTCTATCAGACAATGGTGAGTGGTACATTGGACAGGCTCTTGAGCTCCACAATTTGGGGCATATCGTTTATTTAACAACTGATGCATTACAGTTAGCCGTATCAATTCGTTTTTTTTGTCCAAATCATGGAGAACTCTGGAGAACTCAAGATCTTATTCTTAATCTTAATAACAGTTATGTACAAAAATAATTAAAAATTTGTAATGGATCTCAGCATATACTGATTCTGTAATATAGTCTTCGGAAGACTGTTAATGAATTATGTAACATTTTTGTGGCTGTCCACGCAATTGCCCATTCAGATGACTTTACATGTTTTAGTAAAAATCAAATTGTACAAGCACAATTTGAAGCGAAAGATTTCTGGATCAGCAAATGTTTATCGATTGTTGGTATAGTCAGAGCTGGATTTAAGGATTGGGGGGGGGGGGGGGGGGCTACGGGAGAAATTGGCCCGGGTCCCCCGGATAACCGTTTATTAATTTATTATTTTTCTTAATTTATCATGTGTGTTGTGTTTAAGTAAATTATATCGGTTTTACGTTCAATCGTAATAATTGAACAAGTTTAGTTCAGATACAATTTTATTCGACAGAACCTTGTCATTCATTTCAGTCAGTAAATTGATTTGAAAGAACCTTGTCAGTCGAATAGCGTTAATATCGAATAATATAAAAATCGTCATAATTGTGCAGGTCACTACACAAAATAAACTCACATGAACACTAGACTGATGCAAAATTTGACATTTTATCCACAGTGCTCAAACGGTCCCAAATCGGGTCCTGATTAGCCTCCTAAAATTTGACCTCATTTGGTAAGAAACTGACTTGGCACATACCATTTAAAGTTTATATGGAAATTATTATGGGAAATCCCAAGGGGTACGTAACTTCGCACACCAATCTTGGGTCATCTTTTTTTCAGTGTGCCGCAGGTGTGCTGATTGTGCCGGTCATAGAGTAAGCTGCGATTGTTTGTAAAATACCCATCCCGCAACCCGGTATTTCTGACACCTTGAATGTTTTGGTTTGAAATCGCGAGGATACATCGGTCTGGTGGCATTTCGGATTTAAATCTATAAGTGAACCGAGAAGTGAACTGCTGTTCTGAGTTCCTGTGGTATATTTAATTAGAGAACGGAACAACCAAACAGCACGTAATTTTGTAAACAACTTCAGTGACCAGCAGTGCTCCCATTTTATTTACAACAATCAAATGCCTACGAGATTGTGCCGATGGATGTGCCCAAGCTGTACCGAATCTAATTGCGGCACAATGTGCTGAGTGACTTACCCCTTGGGAAATCCAAACTTTTTGTTCATTGCCTTCTAGCCATTGTGCATCTTGTACTGTTCAATAGTTCTATAGCTACGTACTGTTGTACTGTTCAAAAGTTCTATAGCGTATGGAAAATTTTCTCAGCTACAACTTTGCATTAAAATAGTTATTATTTTTTAAGAGATTGATAATCTTATGGCATGGTCAAGCAGCTGTTTTGTGTGTAACACTGTGTTCTGCAGTGTAACATAGTAGCCATGATTTTTGTGCTCTATTCTACGCGCCAGAAACACAAATGTTGCCTGCTGAACGGTTTATTGAGCATAATCATAAGACATCAGTGGTTTGAAGCATTAATAACTTTTGTTCCTTACATTTGATCGAAAAGTGGTCTTCAACAAAGTTTTTTTTTTCTCTGAAATAAAAAATCTACAAGCACAGCCATCATCTTTAAAGAAGAGTGAGATGGTGAATGTTGTAACCCTGTTACCGGTACGCGCACTTCTTGTAATCGGAGCAAGTTTGCTCGTATCACCTTGGCAAAAGACCAGCTTTCGTTTCAAAGCACCTCGGCCTTTCAAAGCTCCAGACTAGATCCCTCTCACTGTCGGAGGGTTAGCGATTGGAGGAGAAATAGGCGATTGACCAACTAAGCTTTCTTATGCGTTAGTTATGAGATTGAATAGAGACTTCGGCCTAGATCCCTCTCACTGTCGGAGGGTTAGCGATTGGAGGAGAAAAGAAGTCTTATTAATCTCTATACGAGCTCACCTTTTCGCAATTACTTGAGAGTAATCGTCTTTCGGATTTTCCAGTAATTTACCAGATCTGAACCGTTCGGTTGTCTAACGATAACTAACTTTATTCACAAGAAACTATTACTATTTATACAAATTCTTATCCTAAAATATTTTACCTAAGAATGCTCTTTTGAGCTATGTAGACAGTGAGTAGAACACATTTCTTTTTGCGCTCCTTCGGAGGGCAATAAAAAAGGGATACAAAATGTAAAAATGTTTCGTTTGCGCTCTGCCTCCTCACCGCAATAAACCTGCGTTACGCGTTTAGTTGTTGATTATCCTATCCTTTGGGTTTTTCCCACAAAACTACTTTCAGCCTGGCGGTTGTTGTTATTTTTCCTGTCTGGTTTTTTTCCCAAAATTCTGGCGTCATTTTATTACGGTTTTGTTGGTCAATATCGATAACAAGTCTGTATCGCGTTCGTAACAATGATGTATAAAGCTGTTGTAGGTTTTGATATTAGCAACAACTTTTATTAATATCTCAAATCTGTATCTCTTATACATGACGAACTGGAGTGGGCAGAACTTGTTATTGTTGTTCAGTGAATGTAATTTACAATCACTGAAAAACAATGGTGAGTTCTGTTCGCTCTGGTTCATCATGCATAAGAGATACAGTTTTGAGTTATTTACAAAAGTTGTAGTTAATATCAAAATATATGTACTATCTAGGCAAATGAATACGGGAACAGACCTAATTTCTTTAATTTTTAGCCTCAATTTGGGCATGACTCGATTTTAATAAAACCGTATACGTTTTTGGCAATGTATAAACATAAATTTTCTGAAGTTATAAATATAATTGCATGTTATTCAATAGTTATGCATCATCATAAAGGGACACATTTAGGTAATATTTGTATTGTAGTCACTTTAACATTAAATTGTGACACGTCGAAAGATCTTGATTTTGGCAACATAGGTGAAGCAGCTGTGATCTCGCTGTATGTAGAATTATTGGAAGCAGTAAGGTAAGCTGATGACAGCTCCTAAGGCTTCGTGCACAAATTACGTTACGCATGGTGGTGGATGTTTTATTCAATCTTGAGTAAGGGGGGAGTATTGTCAAGCGTTACTTATTGTTACATATAGAGGGAGACGGGGTGCATAATATGGATTTTTGCGTTGCGTAATTTGTGTACAGCGCCTAAATCTCAATCTCAATTGAAAATATTTGGCGAAAATGAGAACAGCTTTGATTCGCTATCAAATGGACCTCATTCAAATGGATGGTTCCGGTCTGTTTTGTCGAAAGCATGGCTCAAATTTGAGTTCCGTTTGCAAAAGCGCAGGTCAGTCATAATAGACTGAGTAAAATTTTCCTCAATTTTCCTTAAATGTCTTGATTATAAGGAAAATCGAGAAAAATTTACTCAGTGCACGAGTATACGCATAGACTGAGTAAAATGGTAAAATTGTCGATTTTCCTCATAAAGGTTGTTCGAAATTTTAGTTATCGCTCAGCTTCTGAGACGCGCGGACGTGTTTTTTCTTGACGTTTTAGCGCTATTTCAATAGTCAATAGTTGAAGATATTTTTTAGCTTTGCTATCCGTATCGTGCCGCGTCGCGTGTGCAGTGTCCGCGATGAGGCGTGAAAACACTTTCAAGATTGACTATTCGAGTTTCCCCGTGAAGCCGTCGTTCGAGAAAGTGCACGGCTTCTGCCGTTCAGTGCTCGGCCTGAAGAAAGAAGACGTGCAGAGACTACAGTGCCACCGCGGTGGAGCATGTGCTTTCGTCAAGGTCAATGACCTGGCGTTAGCACAAAAAATCGTTGACAATCATGACGAGAAGCACGAAGTTGAACTGGACGGAAAGAAGCACAAGCTTCGTATTACCATGGAGGATGGTAGTGTGGAAGTGAAGGTGCATGACCTGCCCGAAGACGTGTCCGAAGAGAAAGTGGTAGAGTTCCTGAGCGCGTTCGGTGAGGTGCTATCGATTCGCGAGCTAATGTGGGGTGAAGGCTACGATTTCGGTGGTATTTCGCTCGGCATATGGTCTGCTCGAATGCTCGTGAAGAAAAATATTGACTCGTGGGTCACCATCGACGGCGAACGAGCGCTTGTCGTTTACAAGGGACAGCTTCAATCCTGTCGCCACTGTCACGAGCAAGCGCACACTGGCATATCATGTGTCCAGAACAAAAAGCTTCTGGTCCAGAAGAGCTACGCTAACGTGACGAAGCAAACGGGTCCACGACCGCAACCAAAACCAGCTGGTCCGAAACCAGTCAAGCCGAAACCTACCGCACCACCAACGGCAACGTTGGGTGCATTTCCCGAATTGCCGAAGCAGACGGACACGAATGCGCAGAGTAGTAGCCAGGCCGCAACAGCTGTAGCGTCCCTGTGTCCGCAACCACTACTAGCGCAAATGTCGTCGTCGCAACGAGTGCCATCGGTAACTGCCCAACCAGCCAACACCAGCACGGCTACGGTTGACCTGTTCAAGAAGCCCCCACACGCGCTGCGATCGCAGAGCAAGAGCGGGAATGGCAACGAAACCGACGAATCTTCAACATCCACGAGTAGCAGGCGGGACAGGGCCGACCGCCGAGCAAAGAAACCGCGCCGGACCAGCGAGGACGAAGAGCGGGGTGGAGAGAAGCTCCCATAAATGGCTCTCACATCCTACAACGTTGCTTCCATCAACATCGGCACCATCACGAACCCTACAAAACTAAATGCGCTCCGAACCTTCATCAGTAGCCAAAACCTCGATATTGTGTGTCTGCAAGAGGTTGAAAATGAGCAGCTCTCCTTGCCTGGCTTCATCGTTTTCGCCAATGTAGACCACATGAGAAGAGGTACAGCTATTGCTCTGAAGGACCACATCCATGCCAC